AACGCTAAAATGTTTCTTACTGTGAGTCACAGTGAAAAGTTTGAAAGTCACTCCGCCCTGTGTCTTACATGATCTTGGACTTGACATGAGTTCTGAGTAATTATGACTATTCCATATAATCATTATCTGTGGAAGCTTGCCTGAGGTCATGCTGGGCTGCAGAAGTAACTTCCTGAGGACGGGCTAATAGCGTTTTGGGAGTTACAAAGCAATTTTTTATTATGTCTTATTTTCCTTGGTGTTTGCTTCTTTACAAGAGCGAAAGTTGCATATATGACACATCTACAAATTTCCTGCTTCGCAAGTTTTTCCATAAAGAGGAGATGGCAACCATCTTCTCATTCTTGAGACCTATCTTCATAAAAAGAGAAGCCGAGAAGCTATTGCGCTGCCCTCTCACTGCAGACCACAAGGAAATCGTTTCATGAGCGTGGGTCTTGGATTTGTTTTCACATCTGTTCAGTATTTGACTTAGATCGAATTTTTAGTCTTCTCCACCTCCTACTGCTACTACCCTCCTCTCATATAAATGCACTAAATATGAACATTTTATAATGTCCACTGGGGAAAAAAATGGATGTGGCTTCAGTTTACCCACAGCCAAAACAAACATCTGCTAAGAAGAAAAAACTAAAAGGAAACTTTGTCGTAGTTCACCTGACATCAACTAACACACCACCAGTCTGTGAGAGAAGAAAATCTGACAATAAAGAAACAGTATCTTAAAAGTGTGCACTTCCATCAGATATTTACACTTTAGGTCCTAGTAATGAGTGGCAAACAATAGCTCAATATTTCTCATCTCTCTCCCCAAAAAGTCTCTCATTTGATGATGTGTCAGTGAAAAAGATTTTATTCTGAAAAGGGATAAATTAATGAGAAATGAGAGCAACAAATTTAATAAAGACATTTCTCTTACATTCACTCGCCCCTTCAAGAACTTCCTGAATCTTCAATAATGAGAAATTCAAAGAAAGGCTTATTCTATTCTTCTTCTACAGTCGCAAAGAGGGGCACCTTTGTGGACCCTAACAAAAAGTCCATTGAAGTTATCCCTTTCCTTCCCTCATTGGGTAATTGGGCTGGGAAGTCTTGAGTGGTGATGGCTTTGGAAATAATAAAATCAAGTCAGCCCACAAACTAATTTAGAACTTAGCAATCTTCTCTAGAACAGGCCAAAACCTCTTGCAACAAACCTCTGCAAAAGTCCAGTGCTCCCTGCTATAATAAAATCTAACTATGGCTTGCAAATTTGATAAAATGTGGGTCATCTTAGCTTAGAAATATTTCTGAAGCAATATTCCATTTTAAGTATTTGTGTCATGGACGTCACCTGCAAATGCTCTCAGGGACAAAGGGAAAGCCAAACATGGAGGTTCTGGAACAAAAATGGACTTCTCCCCAGTGGCATAATAGCAGTATTAGAGCATGATTAGTCTTATTAATGGGAAGGGATAGGAAGGATATACGGATAATTAGGACTCAAGTGCTCTTCTCGGTGAGAGCAAATAAAACTCTTCCTGCAGCTAGAGTTGTGTATATAATGAACATGAAAAATGAATATTGGTATGAGAGATGACAAATAAAAAAACATAAACCCAGGTAAAGGAGCCTGATCATTTGCTCTCATCTCAGCTCTCAAACAGACTGGACTGAGGGGGAGTCTAGCATGCATCAGATATAATGTCAGTGTGGACGTAGCTAATTCAAGGTACAGGAAAAAAAAAGCAATATTCTGAAGAAGGTTGATAATGATTGAAGCTCTTGAATACCATTCCTTAAAGTATATTATACCTTTTTGTTGGCTGTGTAATCCTGAGCGAGAGTTTTAACCAATTCAAAGGCACATCCCCAAAAACCTATCTCATCAGGGTAATCATGAGAATTATGGGAAATAACTCATATAAAACATTTGGCATATATTAGCCACCACTCAGTAAGTATTGCCTATGATCATCAAGGAGATAGTTATAGTAAGCAGTATTTTCCAGACCTATTTAGTCTTTTTTGACATGGAGTATTTAGGATTCCATACAACTTGAGAAATATTCTAAAGTACACTCATACTAACCAAACTCTACCAAAATCACTATTGGGGACCTATTATTTGAAGTGCACACTATTTCCAATCAATATTTAAGAAACATGTGGGAGTAATTTGGGAGACAAAGGGAAAGTTGTTGTTGTTGTTGTTGTTGTTGTTTTTCAATGAACTAAAAAGAGTACACTACCCAACAAAATATATTGGAATAAAATCCCTATGACTTTCTTATTTATGCCCCAGTAATGCCATCTAGCTCCACTGAAGCACAATCAATCAGGTGCCATAGCTACTTTGCAAACATCAAACATGGTTCTATTTCCTTTTAAACTTGGTAGTCTAAAGGTCTGCACTCAACAATCTTTGGAGCTAGTATAAAGATTTTAGTTATCTGCCCTATTATTTACCTCTTTTGGTGAAATATTTTGTACTTAACATTTGCTTTATGACTAATGTTGAATATATTAGAGTACATTACAATCAAGGGTTCTCAGTGTGGGTTTTTTTTTTTTTAATTCCTAGTAAATATACAAAAACAAAGAGTCTTTTCACAGAATATGCTATTGACAGTTAACAAGGAGTTGAGTCATGAAAGGAAGACAGGACTAAGGCGACTGTTATTAGGATTAGAGCACTCTAGGCTGTAGCAGGCACTGGATATTCTGGTTTAAAAAAAAAAGCTATTGCAACTAAAGAATAAAGAGTCCTTTTCCTTCCTTGTAAACATCCTAGTGGTGGTGATATGTTAAAGAGCAGGACTTCAGGGGCAATCCGTTTCCATTTCAGCCAGACTGACTTGTTTCATGACATATCTGCACTGGGGCTTTAGGGGGTCATCTGCCGGATTCTTTGGGCAGTTCAAGAGCTAAAAGCAGGAAAAAACAACCCATGACAAGGTTGTTAATATTGACTCATAAACACCCTTTTCTCCTTCTTTCTTCTCCATTCTTTGTCCACTTCTTCTCTCTTCATACTACATACCCACAACCACAGGCCCACCCATGATATCAAATGAAACCAGTAAGAACTGCTTAATACCATACGAAACTGATACTATATCTAGGGAAGGGAATGGAATTTGGAGGGACTTTGTGCCACTATGTTCTGTAGATTTTTTTTTTCCTAGTTGCCATAGTTTAGCAATGGCAAACACAGAGGAGGAAAATTCCTGTTTTCCTGTTGGGTCTCCAGATATTGTCAAATGTTCCTTGGAGAGTAAAATAACTCCCAGGTGAGAACGACTGGTAAAATTTGACTGTTAAAAATTTGAACTACCATCAAATTTTTCCAACCCAATTCTTACTAATTCTTACAACTTAGGACCCAACCTTTCCTCTGATTTAAACACCTCCAATTCTTTTCAACTTACCACAGGGGATCCTTAATTTATATCTTATCTTATATATTTATATCTTAATTTATAATTTCTTGGTACTGTAGCATTATTGAAATGTTTTTAACACTGCTTAGAACAGAATCTAGACTATAGATACCTAAATTGGTTACAACGGCACTGTCCAACAGAAACTTAATGTAAAGCCCATTACGTAGTATTACATAATGTAATATTATTGGATAAACATAGGAGAAAATCCAGATGACCTTGGGTACGGCAATAATTTTTTAGAGGCACAATCTATGAAAGAAATAATAAACTGGACTTCATTAAAATTTAAAACTTCTGCTCTGTGAAAGACAACATCAAAAGAATGAAAAAGCACGTGACAGAATGGGAGAAAATATGCGCAAAAGACACACGTGATAAAAGACTGTTATTCAAAATGTGCAAAGAACTCTTACAACTCAAAAATAAGCAAACGAACAACCTGATTAAAAATTGGGCCAAAGATCTTAACTGCTACCTCACCAAAGAAGATAGAAAGATGGCAAATAAGCATATAAAAGCATATGCTCCACGTCAGATGTCATCAGGAAAATGCAAATTAAAACAACAATGAGATACCGCTACACGCCTATTAGAGTGGCCAAAATCCAGAATCAATGACAACACCAAATGCTGCTGAGGAATTGGAGCAACAGGAACTCTCTCTCATTCATTGTTGGTGGGAATGCAAATGGTAGAGTCACTTTGAAAGACAATTTAGAGGCTTCTTATAAAACTGAACATACTCTACCATAAAATCCAGTAATCACAAACCTTGGTATTTACCCAAAGGAGCTGGAAACTTTTGTCCACACACAACCTGCACACGGATGTTTAGAGCAACTTTATTCCTAACTGCCAAAACCCAGAAGCATCCGATGTGTCCCTTCAGTAGGTCAATGGATAAATAAAACTGTGGTACATCCAGACAATGGAATATTATTCACTGCTAAAAGAAATGAGCCCTGAAAAGACACAGAGGAACCTTAAATGCCTACTCACAAGTGAAAGAAGCCAATCCGAAAAAGACTACATATCATACGATTCCAACTATATGACATTCTGGAAAAGATAAAACTATGAAGGCAGTAAAAAGATCAGTGGTTGCTAGTGGTAAGGAGGGTGGGGGGAAGGAATGAACAGGTGGAACAGGAAAAACAGGGGGTTTTTAGGACAATGAAATACTTTGTATGGTACTATAATGGTGGATACATGTCATTATACATCTGTCCAAACCCACAGAATGCACAACACCAAGAGTGAACCCTAACGTAAACTACGGACTTGGATAACTATGACGTGTCAGTGTAGGTCCGTCAGTTATAACAAGTGTACCACTTTGGCGGGGGGATGTTGGTGATGGGGAGTGTGGGGGCAAAGGGTATATGAGCACTCTCTATACCTTCCTCTCAATTTTGCTGTGAACCAAAAACATGACTTTAAAAAAATAAAGTCTTAACAAAGGGGGAGAATGGAGGAGTGTGAAGTGTGACAGGATTAAGAACAACCTAGTTCACAGAGAGCCAAACACTACACAGAAACTTACCCTACTGCAAATAGCTGTGAGACACTTACCTTCCATACTAGGGGAAGGGAAAGCAATCATCATTAGCACAGGAAGAATCATCACTCCATCTACCATTGTACAACTGTGGAGGAAAAATAAGACATATAAGTAAAACAAAAAATTTAACCGTAGGATGACAAATTAAATTAAGCATACTATCTTCAAACTGCCATTCAAGGCCTTTCTTACAAATCCCCCTCACATATGTCGCCTTATTTCTTGGTAAATTTAAACATATACCCTTTACGTATTTCTAAACAAATCATCTTAAGGAGTTAATCAGATTTACCTCCCACTGGTGGCCACTCTAAGGCAGCTGCGACTTTCTGAGTCCAGAGGGTCTACCCTCTTAGAGGCAACTCAATAAGGACACAAAAAATTCCCAGCTAGAAGGCTAAGCATTCTCAAAGAATTTTAAGCTAGAATTTTATCTTATCCTATGAAATGCAAAATTGGCACTAAATTTAAAACCTCTGAGAAATATGAATAGACTGTTGTAACATGATGTTAAAGATTAAGTGACTGAATAATTCAAGCATAATTTTTGAACCTTACTTCTACTTTAAAAGAATTAGAGGTAGAGCATCATCACACAGCCCAAAAGGGGAACAACAACAACAACAAAAACAACACAAAAAAACCTACAACGTATCCCTCATCTATGACAAAGCAATGCAGGATAGACACAACCAGGATAGGAAGAAATCATGTAAATGTGAAATACATCAAACTATATAATCAAGAGAAAGCAAGATACCAGATATGAGTTTCAAGTTGATATTGCCCTAAATTGGCAAAAGCTCAATTTTCTAAGTCAAAGGACTACAACAAAGAACTTTTTAATAATAACTTAAATAATTCCTGCAAAATGTTGGGAATATGATGAAGAGTCTGGTTATACTAATTCTTTAGTACAAGAAATAATTTTTAAAAATTAAACCTTTGACTAGTTGTGATCTTCTGGATGGTAAATAAACAAGAAAACTGGTCAAGTTCTTTAATGCACACGTTAGTGTGCTATCTTACACTTAGAGCTCAAAGCAAAGAGCAAAAGCCTATTGCTATGTAAGCTGCCTGGAGTGGACACCTTCTGGTTCTTATTAAAATCAAAAATTTTGGTTGGTGGTCAGACTGTTCATTCTCCACGTCCCCATCTTATCTTACCACCCTCATCTCAATTGGTCCATAATTATATTTCAGTCCACCCCTTCTCTAATAGCAATGTAAGGAATAGCAATGTAAGGAAGAAGCAATGTACCTTCTTTTTACACTTTTTAAAGCACATGAAACTTGAGTGTCCTCTTTTACTGTTATTATTATGTCCATGTTCACAAAGATCTTTTCTATGACAAGCCCCTGATTTGTGGCATATAAGTGTCTCATGTGGCTGCCAGTGTCGTCACAACCAGATACAGACTCCTCCATCACCATCTTGTCTCCACGCCTTTGAATGGGGAGCACACTGCTGGTTCCCTCTGCCTCAACGGCCCTAAGCGTCCTCTTCTACCCTTCTTCTACTTACTCCCCTCCTCCTGTCATTCATGACCTAGCTCAAAAGGCAAACATTTGGTGAAACACCTCTCCATCAGCAGTCACTTCTAGCACCCAGCACTGGGCTAACACCACTTGAAATCAATTACTTGTCTAAGTCAGTCTCCAACGCTAACCTTCCTGTCCCTAAAAGAGATACATGGATCCTAGGGTCATGCAAGAACATTTACTGAATTACAGGATGAAAATACAGATCTTACTCTTATTACAATGGGGTTACATCCTGACAAATCCATCCTAAGTTGAAAATATCAGAAGTGGAAAATGCACTTAATACACTTAGTCTACCAAACATCAGAGTTCAACCTAGTCCACCTTAAATGTGTTTAGAACACTTAACATTAGCCTACTGTTGGGCAAAATTATCTAATGCAAAGCCTATCAAAGCCTGTTTTACAATAAGGTATTGAAAACCTCATGTAATGTATTGAATACAGTACTGAAAGTGAAACACAGAATGGTTCTCAGGGAACAGAATGGTGGTAGGTGTGTCAGTTGTTCACCCTGGTGACAGCGTGGCTGGGAGCTGCAGCTCACTGCTGCTGCCCGGTGTCACGAGAGAGGGTCATACCACATATTGGTAGCCCAGGAAAAGACCCAAGGATCCAAAGATCAAAATTCGAAGTACAGTTTCTATTGAATGTTTATCACTTTCACATCATGGCAAAGTCAAAAAAATCTCTAAGTCAAACCCGAAGATCAAAATTCGAAGTACAGTTTCTACTGAATGTTTATCACTTTCACATCATGGCAAAGTCAAAAAAATCTTTTAGTCAAACCATGAGAAGTCAGGGACTGTATATACTAGAATTTGTATCCTATGCAAAATCTAATAGAGCGATAAATAACTTGAGGCTTTATTTGGTGTCTCTCTCAGTTCCTTTGACAGTCTAGTTCAAAAGATGTCTTCCAGAAAGAAATGTGGACATGATTTGCTTAGAGTATAGCCACGTACTATACTTCTGAGGGTCAATTTAAGTATGTTATGAAACAAGCCCTCCCCAGATTACAAGTGTTCTAAAACTACAGATTGAATATATTATTAATGAAAGCACCAGAAAGAATAAGAAAATGGTGGAGTTGGTATCTCTATTCCTAGTGGTTGTTTGTTAATCACTTTACTAGAAAAAAAGCAGTTAATATTCAGTTCAATCTGACAAGAAGCAGGCTCCCCAATTTCAAAATTAAAAACTACTTGAAAATGGATTTGCTTCCAGTATCATAAACAGTAAACATTATCCTGAATAATACAATGTTATCACCATTAACAATACCTTAAATATTTCACTGTCAATCTTTTTAAAATTTCTATTTTATGTATATTATATCATACATAGTTTTTATTTTATATGAAACTTACAAGCAACACACACAGTGAGGGTACCTGCTTAAAAATATTTTTAATGGATGGGATAAGTCCTCAAAAGCCTTTGAAAACCACTGGACTATCTTGTTCTTATCTGTGAATTCCCAATTCTCCTTTCCTTCCTTCCTTCTTTCAATACCTATTAAGGGTCTACTCATGTATTAGACATTAGAAACTTAAAATGATAAAGATACATAAACATAGCCCTTACTATCATGGAGCTTTCATCTATGGTGATAACCAAATAGTCATCCAAATGATTTTATAATTAAAAACTAAATGAAGTGCCAGTTATAAAAAAACAAATGGGTTAAATAGAACTGCTAACAAAATAACTTGACATTTTCTGAGTAGAAGAGCTTCCCCAGGAAGGTTATATCTAAATAGGAATCAGAAAGATGAGTAGAAGATACCAGAACAAGGATGAGTGTGTAAGCATGCGTGTGTGTGTGTGTGTGTGTGTGTGTGTGTGTGTGTGTGTGTGCGCGCGCATGTGTTGGGGTGGGTAGCACCTTGAGCATTTAAGGAGAAAGGCGCAGCTTCTCAGCTTACGCAGAGGCCCTACAGCCAGGACAAGCATGAAGTCCTACAAATTTACGCATATTTCAGAAGTGAAGAAAAAAGCCAGGCTGGGTTACAGCCAGCCTAGAAAGAAGAGTTAAAGAGGGTGGAGAAACCCAAGAAGGCTGAAGGCAGGCAGAGGAGGAACTTCGATAAGGCACAAAAAGCCCAGGGAAGCCCTCCACTCACTCACCTCTGGACATTCTTGCCAACTATGCTCCTCTCCCTTCTCACATCTGGTCCCTAACTAACCATCCATTTTCCCAGGCACTCTGACCAGCCGGCTTCCTAGCTTTGTATACATGATGCTCTTCAAGAGTAGGCCCTTTTTTTTAGAGTCCAACCTGGCTAATTCCTATTCAGCCTTCAAGTCTCAACTATCACCTCCTTCTAGACTGTCCTTGCCTCAACCCTCACAGCCCTCATTACACTTTCATATACCACTTTGTTAATTTTCATTCACAGCACTTATCATAATTAATAATTATGTGTTCATACCCGTGTGTGCTTTTGAACATCTGTCTCCTCACTAGACTGTAGATTCTGTGGTAGCAAATTCTACAGTCAATTTTATTAACCACTACCAAGTAGATGCACATTAAATATCACTAAATTCAAAATTTCCGTGAAATAATCAGCTCAATTTAAGTTTAAATTCTAAAGAGTTAGCTATCACTCCCATGTTCCAACACACAAGCACATACACACTGCAAAGAAATGACAGGATTAAGATATGTATCATCTCTGTGACTTTAATCTCTACCATTTAGTTTGGGTACTAACAGAAGTCAGCAGTTAATAAACTTCAAAATCAAGAATCTTTCTACTATTAAAAAAAAACCCTAAAAGACTAAAATTAAAAGACTATCACCATTGGCAATATTTCCTGTCACAAAGCCAACAAAAGCCCATGCCCCAAAATACATTTTAACATATTATGATCATGCAAGCAAAATTAATACATTGATATTAGGCTCATAAATGGAAAACAGGAAAAAAAATTATAAAGTTAATCTCCCAATCTAGTCTGTTTATAGGATAAATAGCTCAAACCTGCCACAAGAAAAAAAAAATCTTTGGAAAAAAATATGAGCATCGCTACTGGTTGCCATTTTGTTCAGTGTCTGGAGTGTCTCTGCTAACCAGTTAATTCAGCTATTAAAAACAGTACATCTAAAAGGAAAGGGGAAAAGAATGTAGAAAGGAGAATGTTCTTTGAATAAATTCCCTGGTCATATTTTAATTATAAAAAAAAAAATCAGTATCCCAAAGTCCCAACTTGAGGCCTCAAGGATCTATTCCCAACTTTAAAATACACTGAAAAGAAAATATCGTTTTTAAAGGTAAATTTTCAATTATCCTGCTCTCAAGTATTTCGGCGTATGAAGTTTCAGATGTAGGTTGGCAAAAAAGAGGGACTGGTAGTGGAAAAAGAGAGGAACAATAATTCAATAGTTTGGGGATGCCTTACTCCACTGGCTTTCACACTTTTTGGTCTCAAAATAACTTTACAGTCTTGAAAAGTATTGAGCCCCTTAAGGAGCTTGTCAATGTGAGCTTTATCTATCAATATTTACTCTATTAGAAATTTAAACTG